TGCAAGGTTAATATAATTACTATTTATGCAGTTAAAGCGTTTTGTTTGGCTGTGCGACAGGTGCGATTATTCGCTGTGTTGTAGGGTTGGCATTGGAGTTGGGTCTTTTATAGCAATCGGTTTGATCGATGTGTTGTACATTCAACTGCTGTCATAAGTATTTACAAGGAAACTATTACCATATAGTACTTAGACCGTTCGAGCTGTCGTAATGTGCGGGAATTACTCGCTGATTATAGTGAAGATGTTAATTTGATTTTATTAATACGTGCTTGTATGCAGGTTTTATGATAGAATTAATATGAACTTGATATGCTGGACGAGAATATTATTTAATTGATATTCTCTGGTTCTTATTTCAATCGATTTTGCGCCGCGTTTTGCTTTGAGTTCAAGCGAATCGCTTACAGTTAATTTTTTTTTTTTTGTGCTCAAGTCGGTTAAACCTGATGATAACACAACGAAGCCGGCAAAGTGAGGCAAAAACAACAATTGTAAAATACAACGCAATACAAGTGCAGCAGCTGTAGCTACAACAACAAAAACGTATGCACAAATTCGGATGTACGAAGTACGGTGGCAGCGCGAGGGCGCTAAACGTCAGCGATGGCGATCTTCCAGAGCACCATACATTATCGAAATTTCGGTATAAATAGCTGATGTTGAATGCAAGCTGAAATTATACGACAACACACTACAGTCGAGAAATGAGAATCTTCGCTTTCGTGAGCTTCTTGTTGGGCCTACTGGTGGCCGTAAGCGGTGAGTTGATTAAGTCGTGATTAGCTGTTTGATTATAATAGCGATTTAAACCGCAAATAATCACTGTGCAAAGTATTACAAACGAATTAATTTTAAATGATTCTTATCTCTATATAATTCTAGCCATGCCATATCCCATGCCTGAGCCCTTACCAGGCGGTGGCGGCGGCGGTGGTGGCGGTGGTGGCCTCTGTGGTGGAGGTGGTGGAGGCGGCGGCGGCGGAGGCGGTGGTGGAGGCGGTGGCGGTGGTGGCGGCGGCGGCGGCGGTGGCTGCTAAATGGAATCATACACACACATACTTGCACAACCTCCAAGCTGAAACTAAGTTTCGGCCGTGACTGTACGCACTCATTTCCTTACAAAAAATTACAATTCAATAAAAAAAAAAATTTTTGGAAAACTCAAATCACTTAAGGTGTTTTTATTTAATTAATAATTAGGAAAAGTGAGCAATAATCAACTAGTTTCAGAGGCGTACTTAGCCTGATACCGTTGCGAACATAGCATAGTTAGGTGTTAAGAATATCACGCTGTTACACGAAATGTTAAATACGGCTGTGGAAGCTTACTCAAAGTTCTATGCAGCTGCTTTTTCGTTACCAAATACAATAATGATCAGTAGATTTTACTTATAAAGAGGGAACCTAAATATTATTTCAGTCAAGGGCTGCCAATTCGACATCATTCCTCAAAGTAATTCAGATAATAAATTATCCTTGTGCAATAACATCAATCTATTTTATGATTTTCATGAAAATCAAACAAGAAAAAGCGATAACATCGCAAATACATAAGATTTCTTTCGATGCTATGCTACAGTAATCTAATTTGAAACGCACTATTGCTTAAGGCAAAAATCATTGAAAAAATTCGTGAATATATCTCCTCGAATGATAAAGCTTTCCATTCAAGAATTCGATTCCAGTCGTGCAGTTTGTATGACAGCTATATGCTTTTGTGGTCCGATATCGTGCAAAATTTCCCAAAAACTATTCGCGTGTATAGAGACAGATGGAGATAGCTAAATCGCCTCAGCTCAGTGTGATGATCATTTAGTATATGTATTTTTGTAGGGTCTCCGACATTTCCTTCTGCGTGATACAAACTTAGTGGGAAACTTTAATAAAAGATGATCCTTATTGATACTGTAAGAAGGTTAAAGGTATTTAAACATGGATTAAATAATTTAAAATCCTGTATCTAGAATAAATTAGAACTGTTCACATAGTATTACACCTTGATAAATATACTTGGTGTCTTCGGGGGTGGTCATTGCATATTCGTTTTTGGTTAAAATGAAAAAAATTAATTTCTCCTTTTACTGTTAACTTTACATCGTTTTTTATTTTATTTTTTTTTTTTTGTAATATATTACCATATAAATTAATGTAAAGCTCACAACATACATCCATAATTAACTAGCAAATCATAAGATTTAGATCCCGGTTTTTATTTTCTTCCACATAACACGAGTTCTCCTAATCAATGTTGTCCATTAATTTCTTCCAAGTAAATCTGGTTTGAAAGATTTGCCCAGCTGCTATTTTATTTCAAACTGGCTTTTGTACAATACACTTTGTATACGCTCAATTACATATTTAGAACGCCGAAAAAGAGAAAATTTTTCTTTCCACAGTTCCTCTTTCCTTACTCCACTATATATTGTAAACACTTTATTGTAAAAGTTGGATTTTTTAGGGTTGTAGACTGTCCTAACTTCTTAAGGGTAGGTTTACACTGATATATTTTCAATAAAGTTGTGGCCATGTGGGCTGAAAGCTATTGTTCTCTTAAAAACTGATTTGTCCTCTTAGACTTATTTCTTCTTGTTAAATCCGTGGCCCGTGTCATCTGATATGGGAGCGCATTGTAAATGATCAGCCCAGACCGCTTCCATCTTCCGCTTCCACGTAGATTTCCACGGCATTTGAATTTTTGGCCGTAGAAACGTGTCAGCTGATTGCTCTCTCGCAACGCAGGGTTGCCAGGCTCGATACACTGTAGTAATTACAAAAATTGTCTTCATATGTTTGAAATTTTCTTAAACTAACTCAAAATGGCAACGTTGTTCAAATGAAAACAAACAAATATGGCTGATTTCTACAGGCTCAACTTTTAACACATTTTGCTCGCTAAGGAAGAAAAAGGAAGGAAGGCAGCGTTTTTCGCTTTTCCTGCTTTTTCAAGTAACGTCGAATATCTAAAATTGAAATCGGAAAGTTGTGATTTTATATTTTAAACCTAAATTTTCTTATTTTTATTTGAAAATTGCAATCTTCTGAATTTTTCTTACTTACTACTCAAGGCCTAAACTTATTTTCTGATGAGATACAAGTATTGAAATCAAATACTTGTTTAACTCGACGATAACTGGTTTTGCTCCTCAATATATATTCTACATACTACAAACATTTTATGTAGTACCTTGAACTGAGATCAACGAACCAATAAGTGACAAATCAATTAAGGTACATTTAGTATATAGAAACATGTTTCTTCATATTTCTTTGTAGTTACTAAAAACAAATAAATAAAAGTATTTATTTCGCAATTTCAAATATCTTAATTACATTTTCTAAAATGAAACAGAAGCTGCGTCAGAAATTCTGTGAACCGGTTAGATTAACCTTCATTGCAAATTTGCACCTCTCAGCACGTGTAGCTAATTTAGGTAACTCTCACTTGTCCTAAATAATTTACGGTATGATGAATTAAAATTGCGAAGGAAGTATCTTTTGAATATCAAAAAAAAAAAAAAAAAAAATTACCGCCAAATCCAGTGTCAACTCACAACAGGTACATGCTAATATGTGCATATTTACGCTAGTTAAACCAATTTGCATACTTTTCTAGAAGTTCCTTAGAGGTATTAAGATTTTGAGGTAAACAACTTTTTTGCGAATTTGTTTCTTAAATATGGATTAAGTAATTTTATTTGGACCTTTCGTACATAATTGAGCATACTCTAGGATAATTCGAAAATCCTGATATTAGTTATATAGGGGCTAGGCCAAGTTATCGCACCGGCTCCCATAAAGCGCTATTTGGGCCTCTTTAGTTATTATTTTATCGGGCTTTTACAAGTTTTTAACAGTATCGTGTTATATGGGGAGTGAGCGGATTATCCTCCGATTGTATCCATTTTCAATCTGTCGGTAGAAGTTCTTATAAGATATGTGCTCAGCAAATCTGGTTTTTGTCGCTCAAGTGGTGGAGATATATGCATTAAACGGGAGGACGGGGCCGTGCCCACTTTTTCAAAAGTTTTTACCCACAGATGCCCCTTGCTACTGCGATCCCCTGTATCAAATTACAGCTTTATATCATAATTTAGTGCTGAATTATGGCACTTTACACGATCTCGGTTTATGGCGATTTGTAGACGTGGCAGTGGTTCGATTATGCTTATCTACGAACTTAAATTTTTTTTGTACTAAGGACCATACATACCAAGTTTCGCTCTTATGTTATCCGAACGACTTGCGTTTAATCGGTCAGTTGTATAGTAGCTGAACAAATTCTTGTAAGAATATAGAATGCCTCGAATAATATTTTTTGTGAAAGTTCGTGAAGATATATTGATAAATAAAAAGGACCCGAGTTTCAACGTTCAGTTTGTATGACCGCTATACTATAGCACATAAGTTGGTCCATGTGGGCGGTTCCAACAATTCAGAAGCTTGGTGAGAAAAAGAGTTGTGCAAAATCGATAGCTCATAATTTGGGAGACTAGTTCACGTATATAAAGAAGAACAGATTGATAACGACGTTTCAATCAATGGTTGAAAGAGTCAAAACAAGGTGTTGATCTATATGAGATGTCTGCGCCTGATTATTAACTGGAAAGATAATGTGTACGTTTACGACTCCTATGGTCGGATCCATTCCTTAGAAAATGTGACTTTTTGATCCGAGTACTTTTGACTCAGTCCCAAGCCATCAATTATTCACTAAAAAGGAAGTAATTCGCACAGCAAAGATTTTTGAACTGTTCGAAAAAACCTATAAATCCTTTAAAAAAACAAGCAAAATAGTACTAACTGGAGATATTACGATATCGTCGATAATTCAAGAAAGAGAAAGAATTTATTGGTAATTGCGAAACAATGAGCTCTGTGGTCCATTATCCCTTACAAATGAATGAACATTGAGTATATCACAAGTCCTTGAAAGTATCTCATAGGATTACTATAAACTGCTTCCAGGTGATATATTTGTAAATAAAAAACAAAATGTATTTCGCTTAAGGGAGATGGAATTTTTTTATTGAAACATAAACTAAAAATGTTCAGGTCGTCGACGAATATACATTGCACACAGCTTAGCAGTTTACTTGCCGCCATGTTCGAGCTCCAGATGGGCTTCGCCACAATCGGCAACCGGATTGGGATTAGGCATGGGGTTCGGATTGGCTATAAGTACACACAAGAAAAATATAAATAAATCAATTGATAGTTGTGATACACCTATAAGAATCCTTTCAAACTGTTATCAGCCGTTCAACACTTACCGAAAGCCAGAGCGATCAAAGCCAGTACAATGCCGAAAAAAAGAGTGAACTTCATGTTGAAAGTATTGCAGTTGCAATGACTTCCATTTCATAAGCCGTTGCTTTTATAGAATACCGTAATATCTAAATTCTGGATTGCTGAAAAAAAAACAATGCAAGGCAATCGGAGTCGTTTGACTCGTCTTGCCAGAGTTTTAATCAAAGCGCAATAACAATCCATCAATTCTGAACTGGTAGTCTCATAAAACTAGCGTCTTACACCTAATTAACTAATAAAGAATTGGCATTCAAACGATTATTTAATAAATAAATTGCCTGTCCTTCCTTTTTAGAAGTCTTTGATTAATATATTACACGTATGGAGTAACAAAAAAAAATATTGTTGAGAGTATCAATGCCAATCAAAATTTTTAATCCTGAACTACTGAAAAACTCATTGTAATCCCCAACATCAAGATTAACAAGTAATAAAGGGTAGAGTTCGGGTGCAATCGAGCATTTTATACTTCTACAACTTGCAAGAATCAAAGCCAGTGAAATATATACATATGTATATATATGTATACACTGACCGATATATTATGCATAAGTTTTGTTAGAAAAGCGAAAATAATATATGAGTACTTATATAATATATGAGAGTTGGGGGTAGTAGCAACCCGGTTTTATCTATTGTTCTCAATACCACGTATTAAAAACCAATAATATATAGTAAAGTCGGTCGTTTGAAAATCGTGATACAAGTATTAGTTATATAGGGACCAAGTTTTTGTCCAATTTTATCTATTTTGGCAAAAAGCTTCACTATTACGAATAAAACACATTTGATTCGTTGAGACAACTCAAAACAGTCACCCGGAATTTGGAAAATTTTTCGGAAAATCTTTGTATTAGGTATATGGGGGCAAACGGTGGTATTGGTCCGATTCAACCCATTTTTGACATACAGACATACCATTGTAAGAGAAGGATTATTCCTTAATTTTAATTACATATTTCAGACATTGACCGATATTTTCTAACAAAGTCAACTATAGGTACCGGGGTCAAAATATTCAGTAACTAGGGGCGTGAACAGTTTTTGTTGGATTTAAACAATTTTTGGTAATACAGTGGCAAAAACTAAAGATATCATTCTCAATTGCTTCTTGATTTATGCACTGAAAACTCAACGAATTAAAAGGAATTTAAAATTGTGTTATATGGAAAGTATGCGTGTTTGTTGTCCGATTTCTTACATTTTAACACTGTGACATAAGAACGTAAGAAGAAAGCCGCTTACTAAATTTTGTCGAAATCGGTTAGTGCGATCCCGAAATATGAGATTTCCCCAAAAAGTGGGCGGTGCCACGCCTCTCGTTCAATTTTCACACCGGCTCTCATAAATATACCATTTCGGTGCGAAAATTTAAAGTCCCTGTCATATTAGTTATTGATTTATCGCGCTTTAAGTAGTTCTTGACAGTACCGTTATATGTATGGTGAGCGGGGTTATTCTCTGATTTCATCCACTGCCGGTAAAAGTTCTTATAAGATTTGCACTCAGCAAATTTGGTTGTTGTAGTTTCAGTACTTTAGGAGATACGTACATTAAACTTATTAGAGGGCAGGGTCACGCCCACTTTTTAAACAAAATTTACCCCCAGGTGTCCTTTTTACTGTGATCCTATGTACAAAATTTAACTTTTATATTTTAATTTATTGCTTAATTATGGCACTACTGGTTGACTTATTTCCAAGGAACAATTAAAGTAGAGATTTAACTTGAAGACCGTGAATTTTTTCAATATACTGTTGTACTACCGATTTTATTGTCGATAATTGTATAGCGGTGTAGATTCCAGGTCTGGAGGGTGGTAGTGCACCTTCTAGCTAAGTTTTACGTATATGCATATTTTATTATTCCTCACATTGCATTCCATTTGTTTAGAATACCATATTTGTTTTGCTACGCCCGCATGACATTTATTGATCAAATACTTCTAAAAACAACGGATAGACGATTTATTTATTAACTAATCGTTTGAATACCAAATATAAATTAGTTGATAAGTTGTGAAACATTTGTTTTATGCTTTATTGCGCTTTGAGTGAAAATCTGGCAAGACGAGTCGAACGACTCTAAGTATGCGTTCATTATCCTCCCCCAACCCGATTGCCTTGCACTGTTTTTTTCAGCAATCCAGAATTGCGATATTACTCTATTCTGTAAAAGCGACGGCTTATGAAATGGAAGTCATTGCAACTGCAATACTTTCAACATGACTCCTTTCTCACTCCTTTTTTCGGCATTGTACTGCCTTTGATCGCTCTGGCTTTCGGTAAGTGTTGAACGGCTGATAACAGTTTGAAAGGACATATAAGAATATGTGTATCACAACTATCAACTGATTTATTTATATCTTTCTTTTGTGTACTTATAACCAATCCGAACCCCATGCCATGCCATGCAAGAACTTCCATACAAGAACCTGATTCCGCTCGTTCTGTTTGTATGGCTGTTATATGTTATAGCGGTCCGATATCGGCAGTTCCGACAAATGAACAGCTTCTTGAAGAGAAAATGAAGTTTGCAAAATTTCAAACACGATATCCCCAAACTGTGGGACTAGTTCGTATATATACAGGCAGACGGACATGGCTAAACCGACTCAGCTCAACATACTGATCATTTATATACACTTTATAGGGTATCCGAGAAAACAAGTAGAGAACTATGATCTTTATAACACAGCTCTAAATAATGTACCTCATATTTTTGAATCTTTATAAGAATGTTAGTGTTTTTATAATTATCTTATTTGGAAAATCGGTACTCTTTCATTTCTCTAAATCATATCAGATATCATAAGCTCATCTAACATACTTTGATTGTATTTCAAATAGAAGCACTGAAATCATTTGCCTTTTTTTGAGTGAAGGTCACAGCTGTTGTTGTTGTCATTTAACTTTGGGAACCTGTCTCTTATCAGTGAATGCTTGAATGCCGCGTGACTTAAAACCAAAATAAATCTATTTAAATGCAGTTAAAGAGTATAAAATTAATCTCAATATCAGTGCTTTCTTCACAACAATAATAAATAATACAAATTAATTAGTAAAGCTAGTAATGCAATTACTATGTGCAAATGTATAACTGTTTTTGTAAAGATTATTTTTCCTATATATGTATGTATGTACATTGATAACGACATCTCTTGGCAGGAGATATTATAGTTTATTATAGTCAACTGATGGACGATGGGATGATGAACCAAGGCCAGGAAATACCAATCACACAATTTCACGTGCCATTTATTGTGAGATTTATCGCCGCTTTCAATCTCCCACGTATACATATACACGCACAAACAACTCCAAGCGCTTATGTTAAACCCTCAAAAGCCAAGCTGATAAAGTGGGCATTTCACCTACACATTAATTATCAGTTTGGGGATTTCCGTCGGAATTGTATTTCCCGTGAAACTGACACAAATGCACAAATCTTTATGCTTTTGTAATCGCTGTTTTTATTTTGATTTGAATTTTCTAGACATTAATTAGAGATTTCCAATAATATTAATCGCACGTAAATAAAATACTTGACCTCTTAGGACAGGCCCTTACCCGCTGATAGGCTTTTTCTTATTAAATTTCTGTTTCAACTTTCGTAAGCGATAATATAAACATAAATAAAGAAAATGGCGCAAAACAAACCTGTAAGAAATTTATTATAACAACAAGTAAGGAAGGGATAAGTTCGGGTGTCACCGAACATTTTATACTCTCGCATGATAAAGTGATAATCGAGATTTCAGGCGTGGTTGTGAACCGATTTCACCGATATTTGGTACATGTCATCACGGTGTTAGGAAAATGTTATATACCGAATTTCATTAAAATCGGTTGAGTACTTCCTGAGATATGGTTTTTGGTCCATAAGTGGGCGACGCCACGCCCATTTTAAATTAAAAAAAAAAACCTGCATGCAGCTTCCTTCTGACATTTCTTCCGTAAAATTTAGTGTTTCTGACGTTTTATGTTAGTCGGTTAACGCACTTTTAGTGATTTTCAACATAAACTTTGTATGGGAGGTGGGCGTGGTTAATGTCCGACTTCTTCCATTTTTGAACTGTATATGGAAATGCCGAAAAGAAACGACTCTATACAGTTTCTGTCTCTTATACACATCTAGATGTGTATAAGAGACAGATCATCAGTGGGCCGATTTTGCCCATCTTCGAACATAACCTTCTTATGGAGCCAAGAAATACGAGTACCAAGTTTCATCATGATATCTCAATTTTTACTCAAGTTACAGCTTGCACGGAGGAGATGTGTATAAGAGACAGCGGACGGACGGTTGGACGGAGGGACAGACAGACATTCGGATTTCAACTCTACTCATCACCCTGATCACTTTGGTATATATAACCCTATATCTGACTCTTTTAGTTTTAGGACTTACAAACAACCGTTATGTGAACAAAACTATAATACTCTCTTTAGCAACTTTGTTGCGAGAGTATAAAAAGTAGTTACATTAATCTAAGAGCGCTCTGCGAAATTTTTTGGCGCTCTAGCGAAGAACGTTGACTATAATATATATATATAATTATTATATATGTAGGTATTATGTATAAATTGTGACAAAAAAGTACCCGGAAATTGTAAATAAAACGCAAAATTAATTTGTCGCCTTCAAAGTAATCTCCACAAGATGTAATACACTTATGCCAATGATTTTCCCTGCTCTCGAAACACTTTTCATAAATACTTTTTTGGATTCCATTGAACACCTTCAGCGAATTTTGTTTTATCTCTTCGATCGACTGAAAAAGGGTTCCACTGAGCGTCAATTTCTGTTTGGAAGATAAGAAAAAATCACACGGAGCCAAATCTGATGAATACTGTGGTGTTTATTGCGTTTTTGGGTTTATATTCGGTCATAATCGTAGCTCGATGCGATGGTGCATTATAATCGTGTAAAATCCATGAATGGTTAATTCGCAATTCCTGCCGTTTTCGACGGATGTTCTTACGCAAACGCCTTAATACGGGAAAATAGAACGCCTCAAACTCATAAACCCATGTCTCATCAGCAGTTA